GCTCCTTGCTTTTCTGGAAGACCAAACAACCATCTCGCAGGGTCCAGGAATGCTGCACAACACGAAAAGACAGACACAGATTCCCAACGATATCATAAGCTATAAGTCAAGCAAACACACAAAGATTGAGCTTTCTCTTTTTGTGCCCATTTGCCTAGTTAATTGATTGGTCGATCAGCTCATTCATCACACATGTGATTCAATCATCGTCCATTGAGTGTTGATTGACCATTCCGTTGCCCATGAGATTTAATTGTCCAATCTATCGTTAACCCCTTGATGGATTGGTTCAATTCATGAATCACTCGACTCGTCAGTTGAGGGATCGATCACTTGATTGATTGACTGATTGATTGACTGATTGATTGATTGATTGGCCAATTGCTGGACTGCAGGGTGCATGATTGGTTGTCTGGATATTCATTTGTGACATTAACTTCGGACAACGCTCGCATCATGATGTGCAGTTCTCCAACTTAACAGCAGCATCCACATTTCCACATGAGCCCACTTAGAATGTGCTCACTCTAGTGCAGTGGAAAATTGGAAATGCGGATACTGCTGCTAAGTTGGAGAACCACACACTTAAGAGTGTGCTCACTCTAATGCTGGTGAGCTCATTCTCATTGACAATGGCGTGCTCACTCTCATTGAGGCCATTATGTGTATACACAATGCAGTCAGCAGCATCCTAAATGTCCCCTGATGGTGTGCTCACTCTCACTGAGGCCATTACACGCATACACAATGATGCAATATCGTGTTACGTCTCCTACCCCTTTGCTCGATCAAGCACATTATGGATAGACCAACCAACCAATGCATCCGCTCTATCGACTCACTGACCGACAGAGACTGATTGATTGAATGGTTGATCAAATGATCGATTGTTTGAGTGATCAATCGAACAATCAATTGTCTGGTTGATCAAATCAATAGATCGATAGATAGATTGATTGATTAACAGATTCAAACACTAGATTGATTGATTAGCTGATTCAAACACCAGATTGATTGATTGATTGATTGATTGATTGATTGATTGATTGATGGATGGATGGATGGATGGATAAATGGATGGATAGATGGATGGATGGATTGACAGACTAATCAAACGATTACTCAATTGCTCTATTGATCAATTGATGCATTGATTGATTAATTGATTGCCCACTTGATTAAATAGATGCCTCCATTCTCTGGCAATCATAACTGGGTAGGTTGATTGGATTGAAGATAATTGGTTGTCCATCAGCCGTGTGCTATGTTTGTCCAGATACCATTCCTTTGCTCAAAATAGTTCTTTAAACCACTAGTACCTTTGGCGCGTGGGAAAATAGGGAAAAGTGGACGTTTTCCCAAACTCCTAAAGTTTAGGAGGCCAGGTCCGACGACGGCTGCCATTGTTAAATCTGATCGGCGGCCGTCATTTCGTTTCGGCGTCCGAAAAGGTCGGAGGCCCACCGGAGGCCCGCTATTTTCCCACGCGCCAAAGGTACTAGTGGTTTAACAGACTGAACTTGCTGCCATGCTCCGAGTCACATATCATCCTACCTCCCTTTCGAACATTCCAGGATCTCGGGAAAAAAAGAAGAAAAAAAAAACATTCCACGATTCGCCGATAACGGTTGACAAGTCTGAGACATTCCTGCTGGAAAGGGCAAAACACAAATCTTTTTAGAAACAGAACTGTTTTATCGTGGAATCCAACCTGCTATTAAACCACCAGTACTTGGCCCACACGTCGGCCGTGGGGAGTTGTCGTTAACGCCCCGCAAGTTTCGGAGGCCCGGGGTACTGGACCTGAAAGGCCGACGCCGCCAGCCAAAACAATTTTTTTTTGTTTCGTTGGCGGGTCGGCGTGAAATGGCGCGCAGGCGCCGCAGGGCATATTCAGGCTCGGCATCGATAGCTGGGCCAAGTACTGGTGGTTTAATGTAATGTAACAAGTGGATTTGGTATTGACCTCAACACATTACGGCCGCTGGACGAGCCCATTGGATCGGCGCGAATCCTTCTAGATGCTTTTCCCTTTTTCCTTCTTTCAATTGTTTTATTCTGTAGATTATTCTTTTTCTCTATTCTGTAGATTATTCTTTTTCTCTTTTTTATATTTTTCTTCCCATTTCTCGATTTATGCGTGTCATCCTTGTTCACGGGGCCATGCAAGTCCCTTTCTTAATTTCCTCAATGTAATTTATTATGTTTATCTGATCGAGCTGGCTTCGAACTTGCGCCTTTATTTTGACAATTCGTTGATGTGCCAACTACTTTAGGCCCGTCTACTTTGTGCTTGACTTCGAACATTTGCCGAGCGCCCCCCACGAAAACCGACGAAAACCACAGAAAGTCGGGCCCGGAAACGACAAAGAAAAAACATCGCCCTCTAACACGCCGCGCGAGGCATGCATCCCCCCCCCCGAAAATGCCAACCGCCGCCCGTTGTTTTCCCAGAAAACGACAAAAAAAATAGTGCGGTTCCCCATGGGACAGCGCCCCCCTGGGAACCCTCGCAAGACACCGATTTTTGCTGGGCCCAGGGCGGGGCATCATCTGAGGACCGCTTTATCATTTGCAAGAGTATAGGAAACAAAAACAAATGCAAAACAACGGCGTGCTAGCTAGAGTTGTTCATACCTGTTTAGCATATCTCGAAATATCCTCATCTGTATTTAGCATCAGAAGCTTCTTTGCATCCGTAAGCGTAAGGAAATCAAAGGCCTTCTCACTACAACCGGCGATTTCGTCACTGCAAAACAAACCGACCATGCTGTCGTGAGCCACTGGACATTTGCTTCAGCAGAGTAAACCAGCAACTTCTTTATACCCTGGGACAATGGGCTTAGTGTCATATCCTCAATTTGTGCTTTTGGAACCCCAACTTATGCAACAGATGTCAACACCAATATTACCATGTGGCTGGCAACAAGCTACAGGTTTCAATAGAGCTCCCTGAAGATGGTCATCACCGAGAACTATCAACACACACTAAATGATGCACCATCCCAGAAAAAGGCAGTGTACTTGCACGTGAGAGAGAGAGAGAGTAGAACGCATGGAGGAAAGAGGGAGGAAGGGAGTGAGACACGGAAGGGGGAAGGTCGGGTGCGTGGGTTGTGTGTGTTGTCGAAGAACTCCAAACTCTTTCCTCATTCCATCCACAAACCACCATAACACACCATAAAACAAGGTGTGTGTGTGTTTGTGTGTGTTTTTCAAAGAGCCCCAAACTCTCTCTCTCTCTCTCTCTCTCTCTCTCTCTCTCTCTCTCTCTCTCTCTCTCTCTTCCTCCCCCCACAGATCATCACAGACTATGCATAAAGGACTGAGGGCATAAGGCAATACCAAACGAACGACAATTACACAGAACATAGACAATTAGTTGCACCGCAACCCAAAAGCCGCCCCCCCCCCCACACAACAAGAAAGCACCGACCACGCCCTCAACCCTTAGGTCTTGGTCTGGAAAAACTTAGAGAGCCCTCTGAGTTGGCGCAGAAAACCACCAGAAATCAAGCAAACAATGCCACGAACTTCACCTGGCCGCACAAACTGCAGAACCAAATGATCTCATACTGCTACAATGACACCACTGTACAAACTATGCCAAATCCACAAGATTTCCATGCGACAGCAGGAGTGCTATTGCTTAAAAGTTAAAAGTTAAAACACCCTAGAAGCCCCCGTTTATTCCATGTGCTCCAAAAGAGCAGCCCATGGGAATGACACACACAGCAAACGCTCTCTGAGCCTCCTCGCAAAGATACCACGGCCAAAACTGCAAACATACATTCACAACCCAAAAAAACGTGTGGCCACCCACATACATTGCTTCATGTGGGTGTGATCGTGAGAGAGAAAGAGAGAGCATCACACAAACAGCTGCATAAACAGTCATAGCCACAGTGCTACACCTATGGGAAGGGCTACTTCCTCGCTCATTTTCAGACGTGATCGAATCTTTTGCACCCCACGAAATGGAAAGGGCTGCTTCCCTTTCTTCCAAAACAATGAAAAGAGAGGACAGTGGAAAACAACGAAAGGAAAGGACATAGGAGAAACGAGATGAGAGGAAACAATGGCAATGACGACCACAACAACAACAACAGCGGCAGCAGCAGCAACAACAACAACAACAACAACAACAACAAAAGCAACAACAAGAACAACAACAACAACAACAACAACAACAACAACAACAACAACAACAACAACAGCAGCAGCAGCAACAGCAGCAGCAGCAGCAGCAGCAGCAGCAGCAATGACAACAATGGAAGCAATCAGCAACAATAACAAAAAACAGCGGAAAACAATAACCACAACCACAAACGCAGCAACAATTAACAAATGTACAACAAGGAAACCAACAACAAACTTGGGGGCGATGATTGGCAGCTGCACATGCAGAGTTCGATTCGGAGAAGCAAGAAGAAAGAGTTTGCTAATGCTTACCGCACCGTCTCCATCAGGCGATCCATGAAGTAAACATAGGTTTCATCCGGAACTCTTTGCCTTGCCGTGAGCACACGGTTATAGGCACCTTCCATAAGCCATTGTTCGAGCTCAATAGCATGCTTGATACACACATTCTCCTGCGCTTCTGGTGCAAGCAACTCAAGCTCCGTGTGGAACTCCGCAATGCGGTTCTGAACAAGAAGCCTGAGCAGATTCAGGCCAAGGATCGGGTATTCCTGCGGCGACACTGGCAGAAGATGCCTGTGCCACAACCACCAAAACAGTCAGCAGAGTAGATTACCACCAAGCTGTTGGCGGACCAACGAAGAAATTGAGCAAACGAGAAACAACCATAACCTGCGCTTTATAGCTGCCACCCCTACATTTCTCAAGAATACACTTACACATCCATGGGCTGGATTTTTATTTTACAAATTGTGTTCATTTTACCGGTTTCACTATTAATGTATTGGATGTTGTGTCAAAATTGCCAATTGAACAATAGTCAACGTGTGCATCCTCCCAGACCACCTTCACCCACTCTCACAAAATCAGTCTTCCACACACACAGCAGGGCTGAGCAGAGCAAAGCAGAGCAGAGCGGAGCAGAGTGGAGCGGGGCGCTTGTAGTATCCATTTCAAACAACAGATGCAAACAAAAGCAAATACGAGTGACCAGTCTACACAAGTCCTCCCTAAACATTTGCTGGCTCGGCTCCCGCTTGCATACCGCGTCTCGATTTGTACAAACTCAATCTCAGCTGCTTCTGCCCGCCTTCCCGCAAACACAGGGCTTCGCCGCATCACTCACCAAATCTGCAAAATGAGAACATATTTCCTGCAAAAGAACGTGGAAAGATACCCCCAATATATTTGTCCTTCTCACATTTGGTGAGTGCTGCGGTGAGGCCCATACCCATGCAAAAGAAGAAGACACGCAAACTGCACTCCTCTCTTTATTATTCAACAACCACAACAACAGCAGGAGGACCTGTTTCAGTTTTCCAAATCAGAAAAAGAACCCATGCGCCTCAACACTATCATCTTCTCGATCTATGCTAATTTCATCGAGCCCACTCTTCAAGCAGACAAATTCAAACACACATACTTCCAACTTAGGTATCTTCCCAGACGAAGTGTGGAAATGTACGTCCCCATAATGCCACATATGACCACTGTATGTATTGCATTCTTCATTGTGCAACATGGCGTCACAACCCACAAGCGGAAACTCAACCTCCAGGCATCGGCAGCCTACTAACCCGCAAAAGGATCACATAGAAGCATATACATACACATACAAATCGTACATTCCAATTCCCACCTTGTGTCCGTGTAATATGTCTTCAGTTGAAGAAAATGGCGCTCAAAAGCCACCTCATCTCTTTGACGCACGCTGAGCACAACAGCATGTTCCAAGACCTCCCCTGAGTACACAGAACAACAGTAAATATACACACAACCACGACGTAGGACAAAATGAGAGCCCCGAAACCCTTCTATCAACACCTCTTCCTCTCCAATCCTTGTCATACGTTCTTACCCTCTGCATATCCTTAGGTCCTTCATTTGGTTTCATTCACCCCCCCACTCTCATGCGAGTAAAAGTGTTGCCATTCATGCTTCTGAATCGCAGAAAAAAATAACTAAAATTTCTAAAAACACGCAGCTGCCCCTATGCAATGAACTCCCGACTTCGCCACTTTCCCACTACTTCATTGTGGATCACCTCGTCAACAGCTCTTCCCTTCATGATTGCAGGAGGATGCCCTGTTAGCCATTCCATCGTGCCCCTGGTAGTTGGACCACACGAGTCCTCACAGTCCTCCAGGTCGCCAATGAATGTGTCACGTCCGTACCCTTTGATGATCCTTAACACATCGTCGTGTATCTTCCCGTATACATGTTCCCTAAAAGCTGGAGAGCTCTTTGGAGATGTCATGTACACATAAAGAGCTGTGGAAAAAATGTGATTTAAACACAAGGAAACAAATGCCACTGTTGCACCTCACTACCTCCCAAAGAACTGGGCCAACAACCTGTTGCCATCCAAGCGGTTGTCGATCCCAATGACCAAAGGAAAAAGGTCACGTCACCTGGTGAACACAGTGTACTGTAACAGGTAGGGTGGTGGTTTAAACCACCGGACAGCACTCAGCACCGTAAACGTATGTAGACCTTCACATGGTGAAAACACATTCAAAATGCTGGTTTAGTCCGAATCTATCTGGACTGTGGTAAAGTCAAGACACTCGTCAGATCTTTTGCAGCGACGCTAGCCCCAAAACAATGGATAATCAGGTCATGCTGACTGGTTTGTTTGTTATGTCGCATTGCCTTCTACGTTTGCTCCGACTTCTTCCGCAGCCTCTGTTTGCTGCTGCTTTTTAGGACAGCAATCTTATGACCACAGTAATCATATCGCCATTGCCATTACCACGCCTGCGATATGCCTGCAATAGCTGAAGGCAACCCTCTCATTCTCATCCTAACTGATAACATTTCCCAAGGGAGCAGGAAACAAGGATTCACATGGAATCTCTTACTTTCCTGGGCCTTTGGTTCCTGCATTTTCTGTTGTCCTTCTAATCACCAGCGCTAGCTCGTTGCTTGAACAGTCATTCGTTTTCTACTCATGTACAATAGTTCGGTTAAGGCCAAGCCCCGCTAGTGCTATGTTTGTGCTAGGATAACCTGACTCAATTTCAAGCTCAATTCGTCACTCACATAACACAGAACACTCGCAGAAGATTCGCAAAGTCATGAGATGGCCAAAATAGCTTCTGTCGAGATGCAAAACACTTCAAAACATCATCATCATACAAGGATCGAATTCCAATGTCACGCGCGCCTCAACAGTGTCAATCAAGTAAGCTTGCTACCTCTCTCTCTCTCTCTCTCTCTCTCTCTCTCCTGTCTCTTATACACATCTAGATGTGTATAAGAGACAGGGGGTGGGATGGGTGCGTGGGGGGGTGGGTTAGTGAGAGGATTCCCCTATCACATTTGCTAGTTGCCACGTGGCGATAGGGCAGCTCTGGCCAC